ATCTTCTCCTCTCCCTCAGTCTCCCTGTTATATTAACCCTTTGTGTTCCCTGGGGCAACGGCCACAGCCAAGGAACCACGGCTAGAGTTATTACTAAGCTCCAGGATTTTATTAGGTGTCCCGGTTTGTAACGCTCGCATCCCTTTCTGGCCCGGGGCGGCGCCGTCCTGGGAACTGCTCCACGTCGCGCCCCGTGGTCCCGCCTCCACAGGCCCCTCGGCTGGTGTCTGTGTCTCAGACCCGCCTTGTTTCACATGCTTTTGACAGTTGTGAGGGGCCTCGGGCAGGCGTTTTGTAGAAAGTTCCTCCCGTTCGGTTTTTCTGCTGTTTTCTCACGGCAGGGCCGGGGCTGTGGGCGTTGGGGAAGAAGAGCACAGGGCTGAAGCGCCTCCTCACCCCAGCCCTGCAGGGTCCGTGCTCTCCACAGGACCGACCCCTGGCGCTGCCCTGGGCCGTCGGTTAGGGTGGTGGCTGCCAGCTTCCTCCGCTGTGACGTTGTGACGTCCCCCCTTTCCTAACTCTGCTTGTTGGAGGCGAGCCGCTGAGTCCAGCCCACATGCAAGTGCTGAAGCTCCCCAGCCTCACTGCTGCTTGAGCATCTTCTATGCCAGGCCGCTCCCCCCTCCTCTGCTGACAGTTCACTTAGTTCCCCAGCCCTACCGCTGTGCCTCTTGGGGAGGGCCCAACACTCCCAATACTCAACTTGGCAATGTTTAAAATCACAGAGGATCGGGGATCCTGTAGCCAAACCCATCCTTACCCTTTTTTACAGATGAGGAGCTGAGAGGAGGTGACTCACTTAGGATCACACTTCAGCCAGAAGGAAAGTGGCCTTGGGGCCCCGGACCGGGGCGGAGACCTGGAAGGACATCCTGGCCCAGAGTCAGCGCTCTCTCGGCATTTATTGGTAGGCGAGGCATGTTGAATGAGCGATAAGGACCTCTGTGAGTGATACGGTGTCTTCTATGGACAACGTGGACAGCCCTGCAGGACACCGGCTGCCTCCCGCTGACCTGCACAAGCCAGGCAGGCGAGAACTCGGGATGCCAAAGGGCAGACAAACCCCGCTCTCCCCTGCTGTGAGCACTGGACGCCCTCCCCACCCCCCAGGCTGGCCACACAGCAGGAAGCTGGAGGAAGCTGCATCTGGGGCTTCAGCTGGCTGCGAACGACCCTTCAAATGGCCACTTAAGAACTAGGGCCCCATAGTGAGCAGACACAGTCACACCCCACAGGTGTGAGTGTCAAGTGGAAGAGCCATTTATTGATGTGTATCAAGGACATTAAAAATGATTGTGGTTTTTGTTCTGGTTCCTGCAGGGTGGCGGCGGAGGGGCCGTGGAATCAGCTGATCGAACGGATCCTGGGTAGAACGCTCACAGGTTATGTCTCATCACCCTGAGTCTCAGTTTTCTCAACTATCAAATAAGGGTGCCTGTGAGAAATGGCTGTTTTGGAGTTGGGTGTTCACGTGTGGACTAACCCACAGTGAGCGTGGACTGGCCAGCGGTATTGCGCAGGCCCCTCTGTGAACCGCGTCGGCAGCTGCTGCCCGGGGGGCAGCCCGGGACTAAAGACTCAGCTAGTTCTGGGTCCAGATGCCTTGTGAGGACTTGGTTACCTGATCCAACCGGAAGGGAAGCTGAACCCTGAATCTTGCCGGCAAAACCGTGTTGTGCCAGCTCGAGAGGACCTTTCGGTGCCCAAGATGCCAGCGAGCTGGGAGCCCACCCAGCCCCGATGGCGCACCTGCCGAGGGTACCATCTGGCTGCAGCACGCCTCGCCGGGGCACCAGCTGGCTAGGTGAGCTGTGGGGGAGGAGCCCACAGTGTGGCCAGCCCACAATGCTGTCGCCACTGATCGGCCTCCACCCGGAGCCAGCGCACAGCATCTCGCCATCCAAGCCGGCCAGCTGGGCCCTGGTCACAGGTCCTTACACGTGAAAAGGGGAGGCAGCAGTAAGGGTCAGAGGAGGAGATGGGACAGGGACGATCAGAGGTCAGAGTGACTCACTGCTGCCTCTGAAGAGGGAGAAGGGGCCGTGCACCAGGGAGCTCAGGACAGCCCCTGGACGCTGGGCAAGGCCAGGGACAGATTCGCCCCTCTCTGCCCACCCCCACCCCAGGAGGCCCCGGCACCTTGAACTTCGCCCCGTGAGGCCCCGTTGGAAGTCTGACTTGCAGAGCGCTAATAGACGTATGTTACGTATGTTACGTGGAGCCACTCAGCGCGTGGCAATTCGTTACGGCAGCCACAGGAAACGAACACAGTGGGCACGTGTTTTACAATCACAGAAGGAGAGGGACGGCTGCTTATTATTTGCTTGTTCAAGGCAGAGTTGTGGGTACACTAGCTGCATTTCCACACAGGGGCTATTTAATTTTTCTTATTTAATTTTATTGTTTTTTAAGGCCACTGTTGGCTACATGAAAATAATTGTAAAAATTGACTTAGTTGCCTTTGAAAAATCATTTAAAAAAAAAACAACCTTGAGAGGTCTTAAAGTTGGTTAATATTTTCAGCTCAGAGGACGCTTTTCCGACTTCAAGTAGCCCCCTCCCCAAGAGCCCCCTCCCTGCACCACCACTTAAAACTTGCCCCAGGAGCTCAATCAATCGGGTCATTATTTATTTACGCCTCTGCTTGCTGTCTGTCTCCCCAAGGCCGGGGGCCCTGTGTCTGGCCACAGGAGGTACTTGATACGTGGGGACTAACAGAAGAAGCGAGGCCCAGTTACTGCTGGGTTTCACACCAGGCTGGGCGCCCAGGAAGCCGCCAGGGAGCTTGGGGGTGGGGGGCGGTCCGCCTTCCCGGCAGCTGCACCTTCCCAGGTGCTGCGTGGGAGGGCAAGGCTCGGCTCCAGCCGAGAGTCATCACACACACACACTGTGAGTCAGGTAATGCCCAAAGAGGCGCCCCCTGGCTAAGCACGTGCTGCCGGCCCTGTCTGTGTTTCACACGCTTGGAATCTCTGCGGCCACCTCGGCTTGCCCATTTCACAAACGAGAGAACCGAGACGCAGCACGAGGGAGCCCCCCGAAGCCCTGCAGAGAGTGGGCATGCAGGCCCGGGTTCAAGTCCCAGCCAGTGGGCCCTGCAGCGGGAGCCCAGCTGCAGGCGGGAGCCGCCCATGGTGCACGGGGGCACGGCTGGGCCCCGGCTCCTTCCTCATGGCTGGCTGGACCCAGGGCCTCAGGACGACCCTCCGAGTCCCAGAAGGCAAAGGTGAGGAAGGCTATAGGCTGCACCCCTGCCTGCCTGGCACGGCGGGCAGGGCAGGACCCCAGCCCAGTCCCCTCGCCGCCGCCTCCACGTGGAGAGGAGTGAATGAATGAAGTGCAGTGGGAGTCTCCGCGTGGCTTCGAGCTGTGCTGCAAATAGTCGTGTGTGGGAGGAGGGAGAAGAGAGCCAGCACGTCCCCTCCTGCCTGGCCCTGGAGCTCCTTGGTGTGTCCCGGGGCCGCTCTCCCCCTGCAGGTCCTTGCAGGGAGCCCCTGGGCCCAGGCACGGCGCTTTGTCACATGCCCAACAGCCCTGCGAGGGGACGCGTCACCCCCACTATGAGAGAGGGGCTGGGAGCCCTTTTTCAGTGGAGCTGACGTGACCAGGCAGAGCTGGGCTTCCAGCCAGATCGGAGTGACCTGCAGTGCACTGGTCATCAGGAAACCCTATTGTCCTCAGGGGGTCAGGGGTCACCCAGCAGAAGGTGGGGGAGGCAGGGAGGGCTGTGGGGGCTGTGGGCAGCTGCATCGCCATCTGGAGCTCCTGACTCTAGACCAGCCTGCAGGAGGCACCTTGCAACCCGCCCGCCCCTCCCCGAGGTCAGCCCCGCTCAGGGTCTGAGCCTTCAGGAGCCATCCTCTCCCAGCCTGGCTCTGAGGCCACACTCAGTGTGGCCCTGTGGGGTGGTGTTCCCCTCCTGGCACCTGGAGTCCTCAGCTGCCTGCTGACTCATGTCTCAGCCCGGAAGGCAGGCCGGGCAGGCCGGAGGCCCAGAGGGACAATGTCTCAGTGAGGGTGGCCCCTGGGTAGGTGCAGACTGGGAAAGGGCCCCTCAGGGTATTGCCTTGAGGAGGGGGGGCCTCGGTCTGACCCCCAAAGTTCCTTCTGGAGGGGGCTTCGCCTGAGATATTCACAGGATGTGCTTTTCCTGGTCCCATCTGGCGGAGCGTGGGCGGGGCAGCTGGAGAGGAAGTGACCGTGGGTGTGTGGGTGTGGGAGGAGAGGGAGGCTGGTGGCAGGAGCGGGAGCCCCTGAAGACCGGCCAGTCGGGGGTGGCGGGGGTGCACGTGGGGTCCCTCGGCTCAGCGTGGCCTGTCCACTGCTGACTTCCCGAGACAGGCCCCGAGCAGGGGATTTGCCCAGGTGTGCGCTGCTCTCAGACGCAGGGACAGGGAGAGGAACCAGAGGGGGGCGGGGGCCGCGGAAGAGGCACGGGGCGTGGTAAGAGCTGCCCGCCACCGAGCGGCCGCCTTGTGCAAGGCCTGAGAGCACAGCCGCCAACGCTCCAACACGGTTGGTGCCTCCGCACGGACAGCACCCACCCTGCCGCCGTGAGAGAAGAGCCAGAGGGAGTCCGGTGGACACACAGGAACAGGGAGCGAAGCAGCGAGAGGAGGCCCGGGGGTGCTGGGGGAGGCGGGGAGGTATGCAAGAGGGACACGGCGGGCGTACAGTGGCCTTCAGCTGAGCCTTACTGCCCTTCCGGCCAGTACTGGCTGTGCTGCGGGGAACGGGGGCAGGGCCCCTGGGCTGGGGCCAAGGCCGGGGGGTTCGGGGGAAGGCTGGTGAATGCTGGATGTCCACCGTCCAGGCCCGAGCCACATGCTCCAGCCCCAGATAACTGGGGGGAGTGGGGAAAGGCGTCTTCCCCACGCCAGAATCAGGGCGGGGCCTCCTGGGGGGGCGGGGCCAGGGCTGACCCATTCAGAGCGGCCCCGGGAGCTGAGCCTCCAGCTCTGTCGGGTCTGGGGGCTTTTACTAATGACACCGGCCATCGGTCCATTTAAAAATCATTTTATTATTAACATCATCTTCCCATTTAGCCAAGTGTCTGTCATGTATAAGGAATGTCGGTAAATATTCCATTTGAAGCTTCTTTGTACATATTTCCATTGATAAATAAACTCTGAATTCACATAAAAAAGTTAAACTTAAATAACTCATATTTCCTTCTCTTGTAACAGGCATATATTGGTAAAATATAAATATTCTCGGACTCAGGCTTTGTTCTAAGTGAGGACGGTAATTGATCACGTGGTACAATGATCGACAACAAAACCAAGAGAGTGTTGGCTGGTGTCCTGGCTCGGACTAGCACTGAGGTGGGAGAAAGGAGATTCACATTTGGTTTCCGGGCCACGGGTGGGGCAGGCGTGGGGAGGAGGAGAGAACCGCTCCCTTTACAGCTCGGATAAAAATAATCTGTTCTGCCACTGAATTTTAACTTGGAATATATTCTTCTACTTTGGCTGATTAATTCCATAATCGTGTTACTTAAAACTCAGATGTCGACTAATAGAATATGGCACGCAATCCGTCTCCAACCACGTCAGTAGATTCAGAAATGATCGCTGGGCTGGTGGGAACAAGAGAAACACGGGTTGGGGGGGCGTGGTGATGGGGGGCCTGTTTGGTTACTCCACGGCGGTCCGTCGCGCATTCTCCTGGGGCCTCGGCGTGGCCAACCCGCCCCCTCAGGGCACCGCGGGCCGGGGGTGGGAGGGGCTGGCAGGCGCCGGCTCAGAGCACGCGGGGGATGATGGTGAAGGGCACAGCGGGGCTGCTGGCCTCCAGCTCCAGGGCCGTCAGGAAGCACTCGGTGGCTGCTGTGTCGTTGCCCTGGGCTTGCAGGACCTCGCCCAGCCCGTTCCAGACCTCGTGGGCCGTCGAGTTCACCTGCACCGCGTCTCGAAGAATCTTCTCCGCTAGACTGTAGCGGCCCAGCTGGTGTAGAATCAGGGCCTGTGGGTGTCAGACAGACAGACAGACAGACAGACAGTCAGAAAGGGTCTACGGCTCTGGGCTCCTGTCTGCTCCTGAGCTTCAGTAAGTGCCTTGGAGGTAGCATGGAGCTCCTTCGGGCTGGGCACGTAGTAAGTTCAAGTTCTTCCTGCACTCAGGGGCAAGAGTCAGGGTAGTCGCTTGAACCAAATGAAGTTGCTGACAGTCAGCCACTCTTGGATGATAAAAACGGCAACTTCACACAGTTCGTCCGCACAGCGAACGCCCAGGAGTGAGCCGGTCGGAACGGCACGGTCAGAGGGCCGGCCGTGTGCGCCAGCGGACCCCTGCCTGCGTGGGAGGGCCATCTCTCTCTCTTTTTTTAACCTAAAGAAATGCCATTTGTGGCATCGTTATCGTAACAATGAGAACAGGACTATGAAAAATTAGCTCACAGTCCCCTATTCTAACAAAGTCCCTAATCTCGCTGACCCCTGCCCACCCCAGGCTCGGCCTGGGCACAGCTGTTGCTTTTCAGTTTTAAGCACGGGGCGGGGGGGCGGTATGTGTCGGTCCCCCAGTGTTTTATCACAGCCGCGTTTCCAAGTTGCACATTCCCACACCGACGCGTCTGTGCTCGCTCACGCACTGGGCTCACCCTCCACTCAGCCTCTCCCCGACGGGGACGGCGTTTAGGTTGTGTCCAGTCTCTTCGCTACTATAAACTCCTTGAGATGGACGTCTTTCCAGAGAGTGCCTTCACTTTTTAAAAAAGTTTAATTTATTCTTAGAGCGAGGGGGAGGGAGGGAGGAAGAGAGGGAGAGGAACACTGATCCGTGAGGGAAATGTCGATTGGTTGCCTCTTACACGTGGGCCAAGCAGGGGACCAGGCCGCCATCCCCCAGCACGTGCCCTGACCGGGACTCGAACCTTTCACTTTGCAGAATGAGGCCCAACCCACTGAGCCACACCAGCCAGGGCCTCTTCACTCTGCTAGGTTAGTAATGTTAAATCTTTTTTATAGCTCTGGAAGTCTTCGGTTCAATGGAACCTTACTGAGAACACTCACACATTCCGGGTGTACACCGACAAAAAGCTGCTGCTGGGGGAGGGCAGGGCGGCGGGAGGGGCCGAGAGCCCTCTGCGGGCTCTCACAGAGGCCCTGGACGAGGGTCAGTGGGACCAGCTTGACCACCACTTAGAGGTGCTTCTTTCAGGCCCAGTTTCCTCAAATTGGCCTGATGGGATCAGGGAATGGGACTCTTTTGAGGGTTCTCCAAATAATTTGCAAACTGTCCTCTCTAAGGGTCACATCGATTTTTGGGCCATCAGTGGCCGGTCCCCGGCCCCACCCCCACGGTCATTATTCTTTATTTTTGCTGATTTCACAAGTGCAGAACGTCCCTCCTTACTGAATGAAGGCTGCGTTTCTTCCATGACGACCGATGTAACTACTTCCCATGACCTTGTTTATGTGCCTTTTAGAAGGCGGGTATTCGCCTGCTATCATCACTGTCTAGTCTGTTTTTATTTGAGAGTTTTTTCTTTGAACATTTTTAGTTTTTTAAATTGAATTCAACTGATCTTTGGCTATCTGTCTATCTAATCTGTCTTCAAAGTTGAGAAAGTTACCTTTCAAAGAACCGACACATGATTGACTCCATTCATTGTGATCTTTCTCTACGGAGCTATCTTCTTTGCCTTGGCAGATGGAGAAAATCTCAGTGCATTTCTTCTACTTTGCTGGACACGGAACTAGCTACCGTATTTTGCCATGTATGATGTGTATTTTTTTGCCCAAATTTTTGAGGGGAAAATTAGGAGGCTCATTATCCATGGGTAGTACTCATTCCACATCTATATCAATGTTTTTAATTCTTTTATTTATGCTTGTGTGTTAAAAGCATAACTCTAGCTTTGTAATGATTTGTTACATAAAATTATTTGTACCATAATGTTAAAAAATAAGTGCTGAAATTCCTTTATAGTACAAAAAACAAGTATCTAAATATACATAATAAAAAACTGAATTAAAAAATTAAAATGAAAGGTTTTTTTTCCTGGAAGTGTGGGCCAAACACGTGGGTGCACATCACACACGGCGCAACGTGGCAACCCTCCCCTGCACTCGCTCCTGTGAGGCTCGGCCCTCATCATGCAGTGAATTGCTACAGGAGACAAGAGCCTTCTCCTGGAGAAGCCGGACCTCTGTCCAGTGTTCCGTCTTCTCACCCGGGAATGCGGTGAATCTCACCCTGAGTCTCCCAGTAAAGGCCTGCACTTCCTTTTTGTGGCTCAGATGCACGGATGAGTCATCCCCAATGTCCTCACGCCTGTACTTTGCCAAGGGTCAAGGGCCAGTGGGTCGGCTCTCAGAGCAAAGCCAGCCCGTGCCAGGGCACGCACGTGCCTGCCGGGGGGGGGGGGGCTGGCCATGGCAGCAGCCACCGGCAGCGGGCCCCACGGGTGCCGAGGGACCAGGTGGGGTCCACTCTGAAGAGCCGTGGCCTCTGAGATGAGTTACGGGGGGAAGGCAGGGCACAGGCCAGGAGGCGGTGGCCCCAGAGCTGCATGTGACGCTGTTGGCAGCGAGGGGGTGGGGGTGGGTTCCTCCACACGCCCCAGCTCTGGGTGGGGCAGGCCACTCGGGAAGCCTCCGGGAGCGAGCAGGTGGAGGCGGCCTTGGGCAGACAGAGGCTGCCTTCCCCCGACCAGGGCACACAGACTTCAAGGTCAGCCCCACCCTCTCCGAGAGGAAAACCGAAAGAAAACATCAGCAGTTCCCCCGCCTGGGGAGAGGGCAAGGACCAGGCCCTGGGTTGGATCTTCCCGAGCAGAGGGCTCCGAGCGGGTGGCTGTGGCCAGGCAGGGGGTGGCTCCCTTCCTGAAGCCTCAGAGCAAGAGCGGTGGCCGGAAGTCAGTGCTGGCCACGAGGATCCACCTTGGCTCCTGCGCTCTGCCCGCCCCAGACGGCATGGCCTTCGGGCTCTGCGGTGTGAGCCGCCGGGTCTCAGCGGCCTTCCTGAGGCCGGGCAGGGCCAGTGAGCGGTGCCGGGGCCCCCCAGCAGGTGCCTCCCAGCCCTGCCTGTCTGCACGCAGGGCCACCGCAGGGAACTGCTTCCCCATCCGCACGGGGTCTTCACCCGGCAGCTCCCTCTCCCCGACCCCGCTAGGGGATGAGCGACTGTGTGCCGAGAGTGGGGGCTTCCTGCAGGACGACCGTTAATCGTGATCACGGTAGCAAATGCTTTCACAGTGGCCACGACGCACCAGGCACTGTTCTGAGTGCCCACTGTCAGTTCATGTGAGTCGTCTGGGGACCCCCAAAGCAGTTTCACGCGGGCACCTGGTGTAAGAGCCCACAGTCGAGGAGCGCCTCTGGTGTGGGGGAGGAACACCCCACGCACTAGGCGCCCCTCTCCCATCCCACAGGTGAGTCCACGCTGGCTCCCGGGGGCTCTGCGCCCCACCCCCAGGCACGAAGCTGGCTGCTGTGCCGGGCCAGAGCCCCACCTCCTACCCCGTGGGGCCCTCCTGAAACCCCCGAGGGAGGAGCCCACAGGGTGGGGGTGCTCTTCCCACTCTGGTCCTTGAGAGAAAATCTGAGAGCTCGGCACCCTCGCTTCCCAGCGTGAAGGTCAAGTGGAAAGAATGGGAGGCCACCTCCCTAGGCTGCAATCAACAGGATGCGAAGCCCAGTGAGTTCCTGCCTCCCTTCTCCGAGGGCAGATGACTGCTCGTGGCAGCCCCCTCCAGCGCGTCCCGATTCCCCATGGGGAAGTGAGGGCTGGAGGGGGTGGGGGAGGGGTCTGGGAGGTGGCGGCACAAAAAGATGACGAAAGGAGCCCCACCCTGTCCCTGGAAGGCCCGGCTTTCTTGGTGCGTCTGCAGTATCGAATACACACCACCTTTTTTCTGCAAATCGGGGAGAAACACACTGCATGTGTTTGGCACATGGGTGATGGGGGACAAGCCAGGTGTTAAGACACCAAGAGGCCTCTTAGGTTACTGGGCTGCAGGCAGAGACTATCATTTGGGTCAGGCGCTACGCTGGGCCCTTATTCTTGGCTCATTTCACACGACTGCCACTTCAGATGTAAGGAGACAAGGTTCAGAAAGGCCAGGTGTCTTGCCCGAGGTTACGGGCCCAAGAAGTGTGGAGCTGCGGGCCAGCCCAGGTCTGCCTGAGGCCCAAGTCCCTGTTCTCCTCACTGGGTCTCCCCGCCAGCTCACCGCTGCCTGCTGCTTTAAGAGACAAGCCCAGGGCCCCTCAGGCACTAACCCAGTTACATCTGAGCGACAGCAGATGGGCACCTGCCCTGCTGTGCCTTCCCCTTCGTCTCTCTGACCACGGACTGTGTCACCCCCTCTCAGGTCACTGCGCTCCAGGGCACAGCTTTTCTCCGGCTCGGCTCTGCTTTCTGGGTGCATCCTGCAGATTCTCGCCAGGACGGGGAGGGCTCCTTGCCCCCCTCTGGTATCCACAGGCTGGCTATAATCTTGTAGCCTGGGGTGGCCGCAGGGGCCAAGGGACTGGGGGGCCCTGCTAGCCAGCAAGCGGGCCCAGGAGACGTGCAAACCCAGGAGGAGCAGGGCCTCGGCCCCACGGGACCCCGTGTCAGCCCTCTGAGCCGCCACGACCTGCCCCCACCCTGCTGGCGTGGAGACTGGGACGCCCGTCCTTTTGCTGGGAGGTTTGCTGAGAAACGGGCGGGCCGCTGGGCCTGGGTGCGGCTTCCCGCAGGGTGTGCGGCAGGAGGGGAGTCTACCCGCCCCCCCCCCAACAGCTTGCAGAGAACGGGCCAAAGGGCGACCCCGGCCCATGACCCTCGGCGTCGGGCAGCTCAGAGTCCCTGTGGTTCTCTCAGTTCTAGGGTTCTTATGCGCCTGGAACTTTTCAGCCCGTCCCTGAACATATATACCAAAGAGGGGAACAGGCTGCCATTTCCAGATGACCTTGAAGCGTCCTGAGCAATCTGCTCAGTGGAACTAACTCCGAACGCTGGAGCTGCTCAAGGAG